CCCCTAAACCCCTACACCCCCAAACCCCTAAACCCCTAAACCCCTAAACCCCTAAACCCCTAAACCCCTAAACCCCTAAACCCCTAAACCCCTAAACCCCTAAACCCCTAAACCCCTAAACCCCTAAACCCCTAAACCCCTAAACCCCTAAACCCTAAACCCTGAACCCTAAGACCCTAAACCCTAAAACCCTAAGACCCTAAACCCTAAAACCCTAAGACCATAAACCCTAAGACCCTAAGACCCTAAACCCTAAGACCTAAAAAAACCCTAAACCCTAAAAACCCCCTAACCCTAAAAACACCCTAAGCCCTAAAAAACCCCTAAACCCTAAAAGCCCCCCAAACCCTAAAAAACCCCTAAACCCTAAAACCCCCCTAAACCCTAAAAACCCCCAAAACCCCCTAAACCACCTAAACCCTCTAAACCCTCTAAACCCTCTAAACCCTCTAAACCCTCTAAACCCTCTAAACCCTCTAAACCCTCTGAACCCTCTGAACCCTAAACCCTCTGAACCCTAAACCCTCTAAACCCCAAACCTTAAACCCTTAACCCTAAACCCTGAAACCCTAAACCCTTAAACCCTAAACCTTAGGGTTTAGGGTTTAGGGTTGAGGGTTTAGGGTTTAGGTCTTTAACTCGCTTTTTGTCGAACTTCAAGCAGGCATTTCTCCTGACAAGCCCCAACACACTGGCGCTTGCCTGATGCACAGAGGAAAGCTTCCCTAAAAGTCCCAGAGCGGGACCCATAGAAATGGACAATCTACACTGCAAACCAACTCTGTTGATTTTTTTTTGCATTTTTTGCCGCAAGCACTTGCCGAGGATGGTGAGGGTGTACTCCCTGTACTCCCTCTTCTTAGCACAAGAAGCGCACACGAATCACACCAAGCTCCGGCAAGTGCCCATCCAGTCCATGGCCTGAAACCAACACAGTGCTATGGACCAGACACAAGCCTAGCTCGGATACTTTCGGGGAGTGTGCTCGGGTTAGTAAAGGTAAGGCGTCTGCAAATTTCACGAAAACCACTCTGGGGGTTGGCTTCGGGTTAGAGCTTTCGCGAAGATTGGATGGCCAGTTTGTGCGCACCTGCAAGACAACGCAGTGATCATGGAACGGTTTGTGCCCAACAGGCGCGCAAGAGAACGGGGGGAACATGGAACATGGCATGGAGTTTCGGGGATCAGGGACTAGATCATGCCCTTGCCAGGAAATGAGGATCGGGGCCCATGACAGAGCTTAAGGCCTTTATCTCGCTTGGAAGGACCAGCCGGAATCGTCTTCATCCGTGCCAAGGTCGGAGACCTCCACAACGCGGAACCGCTCCCAGTCCCAGTTGCTTGGCAAATCCTGTGCGTTTTTGTGGCCACTGCCGTCCACATGCTGGTCCGTCATGCCTGAGTCGGGAAGGGGGGGCTGTTTTTTGGCTTTCGCGCTTCGGGTTGTACATGGTTGTACGCTTCGGGGCCGGGGCTCAGGACTCTCTATGTCTGTAGGGGTCTTTGGCAAGCCAAGGGTGCGGACGAAGCGGTTATGCAAGGTGTTGTGCAGAGCGATTTCCCCGTTCCCTGCGGGCACAACCGCAAAGCGCTCGTAGGTCCACTCGGTCGGCGGGGGTAGGTCGTCAGCAGCTTTGATGATGCTTGCCTCGTCTCGACATCGCTCAACACAACAGCCTTCTAGAATCTGCCTGATGGGTGTCGTCCAAGATCTACCTTAGGTCAAACCCCGCATCCAAGCAATGAAAACAAAACAACCCCAAGATACCCTAAGTAAACCTCAAACGCGCCCGAACAGGAGCCTCCATGTTTTCATCGTTCATCTTGATGAAGCGGTTCCACTTGGCACTGTGCAAGGCAACCTGCACCAGGATTTGGGGAGGACAGGTTCATTTCAGTGGCTTGGGTTCTGCAGATTCATGCGATAACCAAGATCCACATTGAGTGGATCCGGGGAGGTGCGTGCGCAGAACTGGATTTGCCAGCGGTTGACAAGCAGTTTTACCAGTGTCTCGAGAAGCACGCCTGCATGCACGTGCCCTGGGGAAACGGACTTCCAACTTGGAAGCCTTCCGGCACCTTAAAGCATCCTTAAAGCCATTTAGCCCTCGGCCCAGCAAAGACATGATCGGACTAGAACTGGAAATTTTAACCTGAGCTTTGCTCTGCCTGCCCGTTTTGGCCATCCACCACTCGAAAGCGCTCCCAACCTGAAGCGAATGCAAATGTTCAACGTATTTCAGCGTGTTTCAAAAGTGTTTTTAAGTGCAGAATAGCATTGGCAGCCTGAGGAATCACTTTGGACATCAAAACGACTCATGCTGTTGAACGCCGCAGAAACTCCAACCATCCGGTAGTTCATTGACTGCCTTTTCACTGCTGCGGTCCATGTCGGCGTTGTTGTTCATGCGCAGAAAACGGTTCCACTTGGCACTGTGCAGGGCAACCACAGAGCCTTTCTGGGTTTCGGACCAACCGCAAATTTACTTTATGCATGTGGACGTTGGTGAACGTTCTGACATGTAAAGGCCAATGAGAAGTATCGCTACTGATGGAAAAGCTGCAACTAACATCGCAACACATCACAAAGCTCTCTCTGCAGTTTTGCTCTCTTCAGCTCTCCTCTCACCATCGCTCACCTGGCTTCAAGTAGGGCTTTACTTCCACAACGGTGAAGCGCTCCCAGGACCAATCGTCGGGCACACCATCGGCGATGCTGCGAGTGCTGCTGCTGTCGACATGGCCATTGTTGCCGAGGCGGATGTAGCGGTTGTGGAGAGAATTGTGCAAGGCAATTTCACCGTCGCCGACGTAGACCACGGTGAAGCGCTCCCATGTCCAGACATTTGGCGGAGGAAGAAGGTTAGCAGCCTTGACGGCGCTCGCCTTGGAACAGGAGTGGGGAACACCATCCCAAAACTTGCGCCACGCGCAGAGAGCTGAAGAATGCTGCCACTTCTCTGCTTCCGACGAGCAACCAATAGAGCTCAGGATGTCTCGGACCAAAGCAACTAGCCCAGCAGTCACAGCATTCCTACCTCGGCACCAAGTTGCTGTCATCTCATCGTCTGCCATCTTCACAAAGCGATTCCACTTGGAACTGTGCAAAGCAATCTGGCCATTTCCGCCGTCCACCTCAACAGCTGGGGCCGAAGAACGTTAAACAAATCTCGGGCTACGCAGAGGAGCAGATGTGTTTCAATGAGCCAACTTGTGTGCTAGATCCCGGCATTCCGTTCAGCCAAATGAATGTCTGGCCACAAACAAGCCGCTCACAAAAGCTTGTCCACAAGACCGAAGCGTTGGATGCCTCCATCCCAAAACTAAACATGATAGTCAAGCACGCGTACTTGTAAGGGAACATGCGGAAATGCAGAGAACAGCCCGCCCTGAGCCGTCAAACCCCTTCACTCAGCCACCACGGTGAAGCGCTCCCATGACCAATCGTCGGGCACACCATCCTCGAGCTCTCTGGTGCCGCTTCCATCCAGGTCTGCCTGGATCGGCAAATTGCGGGAATCTCTCCGGTGGGCATTGCGCTACGTTCTGACTATGTTGCGTTGTTTGGGTCTTGGCAAGTTGGGCAGTCGAGGAGTGATGGCTTCCAACCCGAGATGGCTTAAAACAGCTATAGCTTTGAGACCTGCCTGGTCGTTCATGCGGAGGTACCGCTTCCACTTCTTGCTGTACCTTGGTATCACCATATAAGATCTTGTGACTCCTCCTCCAATCCCCTGTCACCGTCTCTCAGTACGCGATTCGCAAGTTGATTCCAATATTGCAATTGCCTAAAGATGCTGAAGTCTTCAAAGGCGCAGGGCGATCATGCTTCCTGGTCTCAAAGCCGGAGGCGGCACCGGCTCTGCCACCTCACGCGAAGAGTATCAAAAGACCCCCTGAAAGCACAGCTATATAAGGATGAAATCCCGACAAGCCAGGCAAAGCCACCCAATTCCTCCTGCCTTCTCCATGTCGTTCTTTGTGAAGCCTCGTAGGGAAGCAAGAGCCTTCATCTTCGTGTCGACTGACACGAAAGGCAGGGCTGTCAACACGATGGAGAACCTCAAAATGGGAGGCACTGCTGAGCCGGTCAAAGGCCCTTGTAGTTGTCGCTGTCCTATCCGGTGCAAGACTCACTGTGCCAGTTGCTTGGTAAGAAGAAATGAAGCCATTGCTTCATAGAATGTCGTAGAACACTCGTCGAACTACGCAGTTAAGCATTGTGAGAGGTACGTAAGCTGTGATCTGAAAAGTTTGCCAGCCGGAAGCTGGTCGACGATGTTGATCAACGGAATCCTCTTCTCCGGCGACTCGAAGGGGCCAAAACGCACCTCTGTGCCAGCATGTGCCAACATGTGCCAACGCATGCCAACGCTTCTTCTTCTTCTGCTTCCTCGAGCCTCCTTCTTGGGGTTCCTTCCGGGCTTGGGGACCCTTTGGAAATCTGAGATCGGCCTTGGGAAGTAAGCGTCAAAGGCCCTACATCGGGGAACCTCGGGGAACCTAGGACCTAGAGCGAAAATCTGCGTTGTCTGCATCTTCACTTCATGTGGCGTTAAACGCTTTTTTGCCATCGTTGGCGCCTTCATGCCAAGCTCCAGGCTGTTGTCTTCTAGCAGCCCTTGGACTTCAAAGCTCGCCATGCCCGGGTTCCTGGGGCTCTCAGGGCTTTGCGAAGGGGCTTTCCGGGAACTTTTTCTAACCTTGGGGACAAGACTTGGCTCCGCTCTTCGGCTCTTCGTCTTTGAAGGGAAGGGGTGGGAAGCTGAGGCTGACAGTGCGCAGCGGAAGGGTTATCACGGGGTTTTCATGCTAGAGTTCTGGCTGAATGAGGCTGAAAGTCGGGTTCCTGCGAGGCTCTTCCAGTGTCCCCAATTGCACTTCATCAACTCCCCCGAACGAAATCTAAGAATGGACCAGCAGAAACAAGTGATGCAAGTTATGCCGGGGGCACTTGAAGCTGAACAGCTGAAAGTAGTCTGCCTTTCCATCCTGTCTGCTGGGCTATCAGCCTATTTTCCAGTAAAGCAAGATGGGCATCCCAGCTCGTTCTCTGGCTCGTGTTTTTGTGTTGCTAGAACGCGCGCACTGCTTCCTGAAGCCTCCTATGCCTCGGGCCAAGCCAGACAGCCTTCAAGTCAACTCCTTTTCCTCAATTCAACGCTGGTCAGACTCGAAACTATGGCGCCCCACAGATTCCCTGACATGGATGCCGGCCACGCATCACTACACCAGCCTCGCCCTGCAAGGCGCTGAAGGCGGCTGCACCATGCTTTTCCGATGTTTTGTTGATGCTCAGGTCCTTGAAAGGCAAGGCCTATCTGGGCTTACAAGCCCTATGTCAATGGTTCATAATGGTTCCAGTGCTTTCGTGGCTTCCAAGCCGTGGACGCACGCCAGCCAGACTCGCGGAGGCTTTTATCGGGCGACCTTTCAAAGTTATCACTGTTGTCAACGCCGCCACATTTTCTGATGCCATGTCTGAGTTCAACAAAAAAGTGTAACCAGTGACCACTGAAGCTCCGTTCGATCCATTTTCATAGATTTATTGGATACATTCTCTACTCAAACAAAGAAGACTCCGCCATTCAAGTATTCAGCTGTCAATTTCCCGCTGTGATAGTTCCCGCTGGGATGCAACACTTTAGTTCCCACTCTTCTCGTTGCTGAAGTTCATCGGCATGGCATGGTTCTCATTTTCAGGTTATCCAAAAGCCGGATGCGTTCTCGAATGTTCTCTATATTTATAGATCTCAGATCGATCAATCGAAATGGAAGCCAAGCGAAGATTCAAGAGCGACTCTGTTGAGCACGTCCTTGCGTCCGAACTTTATTGGCGAAATGCAGCCCATGCCATGGAAATCATGTTTACCAGGTTGGTTGCTAATCGCCACCATTTGGAGTGAGGCCTTGAATTCGCTCACGAAAAAACACTCTAGGTTGATTTGACCTACTCTCTAAATCAAAACACGAACCGGACGTTCGCGAAGTAGATGAAAATACCATTTATTGAGGTTCATCTATCAGACCAGAATCCGGTTTTGCCATCGATCCAGTTGGCTGAACTTAAATGCGATTTTTTGACGATTTCTTCCCAAGAAAACATGAACAATACAAGTTTAAAGATCATGGGTTTTTCAAGCTGGCGTATCCGGAAAGTGTAAGAAAACACCCTTGCAGCACACGCCCAAAATGCCCCTGACCCTCGAAACCCCTGAGGCCTAGACAGACTCAGAGCGCTTCACATAGGCCAGAGATTTCTGACCGAGGTATTGAAGCAAAGCAGTCCTGGCCATAGTCAATGGATGCCAGGTGGAAGTCCTCCACGTCCGTCTCCCAGACAAGCGTGCCGCTGTCCTGAGGGTTGATCTATAGTCGACGATTGGTGGTCGGGCATGGGCGCTTGAAGCTTGCTACTTATTTTTCGACAAAGGTATACCGCAACTGCTTCTTTTCTTTCAGTTTTGTGTGGGAGAATTAAACATATTGAAGCTGAAGCCGTGCATGTTTAGATTTACACGTATATTAACATCGATATATAATAAGTCAGAAAAGGTGCTTTCAACACTCATCTCGACTTTCAACGCTCATCCGATTGCATCTTGAACACAAAAAACATGAAACACAACATTCCAAAACACCGCTGAGCCCTGGAAAGTCAATTTCCCACAGTGCAGCTCGCCAGTTCCTACGGATTCCTCCGGCATCAGCGCTAGTGCGCTAGTGGTACTGAAATAAGTACCTACAAGCTGCCACAACCTGTGCCAATACCAAGATCTGTCAAAGAATGAAGCCCCAAGCGCCAGCGACAATCCTGGCAACCCTGCAAGTAATCGCTCCTCTGTGCCACGGATGCGTTCTCTGCTTTCTGCTCCGGCTTCCGATGCTTTAAGGCTGTGGTTGCCCTGCGTGAGGGACGTCCTGACATGCTTGTGTGGGCGGAGCTTGGCGGCTAGTGCGGAAGGCAGAACTATCAGAAACTATCATAATGAAGTATCATAAAGGAAATGCTTATTGTTAACTACAGAACCATCCCTTAGCACGGTGGTCCTAGCCATGGGCTCCAAGGTCCGGTCATCCTCGACGGCATGCCTTCGGGAATCAAGTTCGAATATGTTCGTAGACTCTACACGTTTGCTTCACTGAGAGAGCATTTCAAAGCTTCGAAGCCCCGCTTCCCACTTCCGGTGCTTCTTCAGGGTTCATCCAGACCTTTGGGCATGCACCTCACAGTCATGAGGAAGGCTCCAAAGTGAGGCATCAGAAAAAGTCAGGATGCTGGCCGGTGGCGATGCCAATGGGGTTGCGCCAGGTCTCATGAGCACCGAAGGTGTTCTCGTCGGTAAAGTCCGTGCCGCCGCCAAAGCGCTTGGTCAAGCGGAGTGTCCTGAAGCAGACGGCCAAACATCAGTGTCTTCAGAACCTTGTAATCCATCTCACGACTATGACTACATTACTAACATTACATTGACTACACAAGGTCCGGCTGAAAAGGAGGACGCCAGCGGAGCGGATCTCCGAACGCAGGACACTGAGGTCGACGCCGCCAGGTTGCTTATCAGGCCTTTGCGGGTTTGAGCTGGAGTTTCAAAGCTTCTGGATGCTGGGCATCTTGCGATTCAGAGGTGTTGGACTGGCCTAATTAGAGCAGGAGACTGCCTTGCAACATTAACCCGCCATTGTCCAGCTGTTGAGACAGGAGGGCTACGTAGTTCTGGGCATTTCGACTTTCCGTAACCTCTCCTGCATACAACCCCCGAGCCGGCCAGCAAACGACGGTGTCCAGGGAGGCCAGGGGTGCTGGCATCAAGTCAAACTCCATTCCACCTACCTGGGCATCGCTGGGCATCTCTAGTCATGTCTAGCCCTTCGAAGTTCTTGCAGCAACGGTAACAGAATTCTGCAGCTTGGTGGACCACGAACTGCATCACCAATTGTGTCGGCCCAAATCTTGAATTACAGTTGTGACAGTTTTGACTCCTTGTCTCATTGAGGCGCCGACGAAAGAGAGCACGGGCTGCATCGAAAGTGCATAGCTCACGGTCACGCACTTCTCAATGGACATTTCCCACGTGTAGAAGGAATAGCCTTGCCACTTGTCCCAGTGGTCCTTCATCAGACAGAGTGGCTACTTGATTAAAATGCACTACCAGTCCTTTGACCATGACTTGCTGCTACTGCTAGCTATATGTAGTCATATATGATATATACAATGTTAAGTTATGGGTATATCATTGCAATTGCTACTCATGCCACACAAGGAGGACGGGCACCATGAGAACAACGACCACTATACAAACGCAGACGAAACACCACAACAAACATCAGCACCGACCACTACCTCCAGCACCACCACCACTGCACCACCGGCAAAAGCGCGGTCCTTCATCCACGAGTTGTCGCAGGGCACTGCCCAGGGCCTCGGCGAGCATAATTGACATTGTCCTGTGCATGTGCAGACTTTGCTACGCCGGGATGCTCCAGCTGAATGAAGTCACCCTCGTTGCTAACCTGCCAGTCCGACTCCGTCGCCTGCGATTAAAAGTGAGTGAAGTGTTTATGTCGAGTCATGGTCACAAGGTGGGAATGGTGGTGGGGTATGGAGCGGTGGTGGCGGCATTAGCCGGCAACAATATCATAGTGTGGATGGATCTGTCGCCGTTGTTTCTGGCAAACTCGCACCCACCGCCACTCTTGTTCGTATTCAAAAATGAAACCATCATTGATTATCCATAACCCTATGCTTCACGGAGCGCATGATTTCAGGCAGAGATGCATGCGAAAGAATCACGTATGCACCACCCTGCCACTCCAAAACATACAAAACAAAAGTCAGGGAAATGTAGAAATATATGTTTTTTGCCCCCCGGCATGTACCTACCCCATTGTTCCTCTTGATTTGCCTTGCCTGGCGAGGCAGTACTCGTTTTTCTTCAAGGTTTCGAAGTTGGCGGTATAGATGTGTACGAAAGAAGGACAGCTATTGGGACTCCAGGAAATAAAGAGTGAAGGACAGTCCTGGAACATTGACTTCATGGAGTTCATCGGTTTAACCAATGCTGTCAAACCAAGCACGGAAAAGACAACAAAGACGCAACAACACCAAGAAATCAAGACACTCTTTATCGGCTTCTCCAAAAATCGGGGCTTAGGATTTTGTTGTTTTGTGATTTTTGATGCCTGGTTTGAAGTCGTTCGAAAGAAACTCTCGAAGACATTGTAGAGGCTCCTTGTCCATATATACTGGATCAGCTTTATGGATAATTTCTCTTAGTATAGATATCAGCGGTCAGACCGAGGATTCCATATGAATGTGTCATTTACTTCGGCAACCCTCACCATGAATATGTAAGAAAGCACACATGAATACAACTACGGCATAATTCAGCCGCTGAAACTCTAAATCATGAAATCACTCGCATTTGCTAAGCCGAGCCCCCTCCATATTGCATTCACTGCGGGATTCTTCGACCATGGCGCACCCCGCCTCCTCTAGCCCCCTTGATGGGAGGGATCGGGTTTAGGGTTCACCTCCAGCTAGAAAACATACCGAAGCAAAATGGATACATTTGCTACCGCTAGTAGACGTATCACACCACCCGTATAATGCTTCTGAACTTGCTTAAGGGGTCACCTGAAAAAAAGTATAGTGAATATAGTTGTCATACTTCTGCGTATCCCCAGACCGCCTTCATGCCTAAGGCACAGCACAGGCAATATTACCCAAAAAACTGAATGAGGAAACACAACTAATTATACTCTATATGTTGTTTCGTTGTTTATTCTTAAGCTGGCGAGGAGGCGATAGAACGGCCGGGAATTTGTTGTAAGAAACAGGTGGTCCATTCGGCACGTAATATTCTCATGTTGATAGTATGGGCCAGCTTCACAAAAACCAACCATGTGCTCAAGGGGGGGGGGGGGGGGGGGCGCACAATAAATAACTTGTGGGCAGCTAACGGCTAACAGAACTAAAGGCTATATGCATACTGCACTTAATCAACTTAGTTTCGCAAATTAATGGCTGTATTCGCTTGGCACCCTTATAGCCGCAAACTGCTGCACCAGTCCTTTTGACTTAGCCAAAACAAGGTCGCTACATCCGGGGGGGGGGGGGGGGAGTTACAAGTGCAAGAGCGTCATTGCAAGATTCAGCGAACAAACAGCATCAGTGGCATCGCGCGGAGGATGACGACCCAGGAGCTGACAGCGTCCGGACTCTTTGACCACAGAATTGTGGTTATACACACGCGTTCGCCTGGTTGTGGCTTCCGTGCTTGTTCTTTGGAGCAAAGGCCAAGCAAGAGCTCGTGTCTGTCTCTTTGCCGTTGAACTGGGTGATCAGCTTTGTCGCATAGTTGCCGTCCTGACCGTGGCAGCCAGAATCTGCCAGAATTACTGCGCAACTCACGCAAGGTTTCATTAAAGCTTGAAACTATAATACGGCCTTCTCTCTGTACTCACGGTAACGTACGATGCAAGCTGCGACCCAGACTGAAAGATTCATGTAAAGTGCAAGACATGAAAGCCTCGATCCACTGACATCCTGAACGAGAAATTTCAACATCTTGCTGAAGCCTTTACAACCCCTCGGCATTCTGTACCTCCAAACACACGGCTGTGCAATTTTGAGCATGAATCAGCATGAATACTGCGCCCTCCTGGTCATGGACTGCAAAGCTGATGGATCCCTGAGCGCCACCACCGTCGTCGTCGTCACCTTCAGTTCGCACCTGCCCAGCTTTTCCGGTGGCGGGCCCCGTGGTGTTGGCTTCCAGGTTTCATAATATGGACTGCCATGGAGGCTTGCATTGTGTCGGAGCCTTTCTGCAGGCATTGTCATTTGTGATATTGGGTGATCTTGGGTGATAATCTGGTAATATCTGGTTGCTGTCTGGTAGAACCTGGTCGGAGGCAACGGTGTATGTTGAGTCTGTTAATATCAACCAATCCTGTCAATGCGGGTCATAGGTGATATTTTCTTTCAGGCACATCGTCCGTTGGTTGTGGAGACTGCTCTTCGCGTGCTTAGCATGCGCTGAAGGCTTGAGGATGTGGCTTCGCCTGTGCTGCCGACAGTTCCCGTGGGAGCTTGGATTTGGTCCGCTTCGGGTGCTGCGCGTGGGTCTTGATGACGAGGTTCTTGCCTAGGCTGGGAGCGCATGTTGCGCAAGGCGCAAGGTACCCGAGGAGGTGCCCCGCTTCAGCAACTTCAGCCCAGCCGCTGGAGTGGTGGACGACAGCTGCTGACCCAGCAGCCGGGAATTTGGAGACAGCGGCCTGCTGCACCAGAGATTGCTTGTCCTCCAGCACCTGGAGAACAGGAGCAAAAATCAGGAGGAGAGGAGGTGCGGGCTTCTTGTTCATGGAGCCTAAACGTTCGCCGCCTTGCGGATGACGGAAGCAGCGATCTTGGCGAAGACTTCAATGAAGTTAGTCAGCATGTCGCTGAGACGGTTTAAGGTGCTCCTCCGATCTCGGGGATTGACAATTTGGGGTTGAACGTTTATACATCAACAGCGTTTCTGACTGCATTCCGCCTGATTCTGTGCAGACTTCTCAAAATGGAAGCCCCAGTCGGCCCAGGCGCAGTGGAGGGACGACCTCGATGAGCTTGTATCCAAAGCACTTGATCAGCTCGACGGGGGAATCAATCGTGGCACAGTGCACCAGCTCTCTGCCCAAACCAAATACGGCCTCCGGACATACAAAGTGACCCACTGCGAAATGCGAAATACACATGTGACCAATGTGACTCAGAACCAACTGAGACTGACAGTGCTTTATGCCATTACTGCAGGCCGAGTCCGGCACGCATCTTTCAAAGTATGCCACAATGTCCACTACGCCCATCCATGCCCTCCAGCGCTGTACAGTGTAAGTAAGTGCGTTTGGGAATGGCTGGCCTTGATGGGCTTGATGCCAAATTCCACTGCTGTCTTCAGTGGCTCCGGCCAGCTGAGAGCCGTTGTCCCGAAGTTGAAGTCGAAGAGAGTGCAGGTTTGGCCCATGAGTCTCACCTCTTTCCGCGCACAGAGAGGTGGCCGGGTTCAGGGGGCCCGTGATCAACACGATTGCCTGCTTCGGGCAGCGACATTCATTCCGGGCGTCGGGTGTCAGTCCTACTAGCAGGACAAGGCCCACCAAACCCTAAAACCCCGCGGCCGCCCCGAAGCACACCCCAAACAACGTTCGAAGCTAGACTGGGGAGTTGAGCTGGACAAACCAAACCCTCTCACTTTCGAAACCTCACCAGACCTTTCGAACACGTTAATGTGCCTGAACATCCCTGGTCTCTCGGACTCTCGGAGCCAGACCCAGCACTTCTGCCGGCCCCAGTCGACGTCCAGGCCATTCGAATCCACAGACATGGAGGGCCACCTGATTGATCCACCCACATGTCTGCAGTGTAGCCGGCAAGCTAGTGACTAGTCAGTGGCCTCTCTCCATCGGGGTTGCTGAAGGAAGTGGCAAAACGCGCCGTTTTTGTTGAATGTTTGTTTGTAGTAGGCACCTTGAGGAACGGGATGCTGAAGATGTGCACGCTTCGGGGTCACAAGGTTGGCTAGTTTTGATTGGGGGAATGGAGGTTGCTGGAGGTTGGTAAGTTGGAAGAGATGGTGGACAATTGATGGTATGCTGGTCAAGAAAATGCTTGGCGATCTGGTGAGGACATGGTATACGGCGGGAGATTGTTGTACTAACAGACATGTTGAGGGAATCAAAATCGTGTTGATGTGCATGTGCGGGGCCATATGCAAAAAACCTCAGTTCATTCTGACATAGCACGAAGACTCCGCAAAGGAAGCCGTCATCCGCTCCAGACGGGCCGAAAGAGATACTCTAGGTCAGAAGACATATGAAAAGATTGAAGATAATCACATGACCGACCAAACTATAAAAAATGCTGAAGGGACCTGTTCTCATCACAGCCAGCATTCCAGTCGGTAAAGCCACCTGCAAAACTCAGGGCTCTTGAAAGAGGGGGTAATGGGTAGTTCCGTAGGGCTTCCACAGCATGGGATTGTTTGAAGTGCTTCGGATTGTACGAGCTGGTTTAATTAATGACTGCGCATGCTGCGCCGATTCAGGTTTGGAGGTATGCTCTGGAAGAAAGAGTGGGGGCTCTTGAGCGAATGCATTTTGACTCTGTAACTCTTGCACTATATATGTCGCTCGGCGTCCGGCCGACAGGCGTCTGGAACAAACAAACCAAGATCTGGTCTACATCCTTCTCCTGTCTGGGCCCGCGGCCAAACCCATGTGGGGGAGACTGAATTCGGGTCTTAAGGCTCCCGCCAGCACAACAGACGAGCACGGAAGAACACTGAAAAGGTACACACTGAAGGCCTTGGCTTTCGCCCACTGCAAGCACCGTTTTTTTTCTGAGGCAAAAGAGATCTTTATGGGTCGGGTGCTCGCCTGTGTTTTTCGGCTGACCCGCGGTTGCATTCCATATCTGCACCCCGACCATGAGGACCGGAAACTCCGAGATGCATCGCTCGGACTGCCGACGTGCACGTCCCGTGGGTTGGGTCGGCGATAGCCCTCCAGCAAAAGAACGAAGGCAGAGCCTAGGTAGCTTCTATTGCTGGTCACAGCCACGGAGGAGGATGTCCACAGCCATCTCGACCGAGTCGATGACAGTGTTGGCGACGAAGCTGACCTAAGGGAAGGCAGAGGGCTTGCGGCTTGCGGTGCCGATTCTTGGGTCTGAAGTGATTGAGAACACAAACTGTTATGGGACACTGAGACTGGCCCTCCACTATTTCCACCAAACAAGCCTGGCAGGGCCTACCACTGCGTACGAGGGCGGCACAAAACCTAAACCCAGCAATCATGTCTGGATCGCAGACAGCATCCCACCCTATACAAGTACAGCAGCTTCCTGACCACGGAGCACAAGCTTAACAAGGGGCCTCCGGGTTCCCCGACCTGATCCTCGGCTGCTTCGTACGCGTCCCCCAAAGCGTCGCCCACCAGACCCGTGCCTTGGATTATGGGTTTGATTGGACCCGGGGAAGTATCGCGGCGGCGACGGCAGAGTTCACACGCCTTCCTGTTCCGACATGTTCCAGTCTTCGAGCTTTCGAGTCTTCGAGAGCATGAAGGTCCGAGGTGCCATCTGTAGCCACATCCACAACGTCATCCACGATGGGGATCTGTGCTCGAGGTGCGGGAACAATTAATCAGCATCAATGACGGAGCGCTGCCAAGCACAAATAAGCCGCCTTTCCTCACACTTAGGAATTCCGTGGGCCTTGGAGGACACGGCCGAGTCAAGAGATGTTGCCCGTGACTTGCCGGTGGCATTGGACCTTTGGGGCTTCATCTTGAGCTCACACAACGGGCATACTTGCATACTGCAAGATGCATGAAGACAGCACGTGGATTGAGAATTCTCTGAATCTTTTCTTTGTAGGTCCTAGTCGGTCCCAGGGACCTCTGTGATGCCTGCGCACTTCGCTGGAAGAGCTGAGTCCTGGCGTTGCTCATATCCTCGCCAGCCTCAGTGGGGCTACATCTCCACAAAAACTTCGGGGTTTTGATCAACATATATGCTATGAAAAACCTTGCAAAACACCCGGCTTCGCGTTTCAAACCAAAGGAGTTAGGGTTTTCGACCAGCATGTGCTGGCCTTCACCTCGCCGCCTGGTCGTCGCTCCTGCACGAATGCGTGCTTCTCCCGCTGGTAGTTGTGCTTGTGGAGGACTTTCCTTACTTGGGCAGGGAGATCTACATGTTGCTTCTGACTGGAAGACTGGAAGACTGCCCTCAGGACTCACGAGCCATGCTTCTTCAAGACCTTCGTGGCCTTTTGGGTGCTGGCCTCCTCTTGTGCCTTCAACTCCGCCGCCGAGGGGCTGGCCTGTTGGTGCTGGAGTCAAGGACTTATGTGGTCGAAAATGCCCGACTTGTCAAGTGTCTGGTGTAATTTACGAACGAAGACAATACGCCAAAGGGTTACAATTGGTGCAGACATGTTCAGGCCTGGCTGGCCGTCTGGCTGCGCTTCCACTCGCTCAAGCTGTGGATCTCGATCTGCTGGAGCTCCACGATCGTCCTGGGTTGGGCTCACCGTCATTCTTGGGACTCGGTTCAGTATACTCACTGAGCAATACCACGCAAAGCCAAACACTTCTCAAGATGCAACCCAGGGGCTCCAACTGGGCCACCTGTTTGGGGAGTCTCTGCTTCAGGTGTGTAGCAGTGTTGAGTATGTTAGCAGCAGCATCTAAGACAAAACCAAGAAGCCGCTTGGCTTTGGGAACGTGTGGGTATCCTTACAGATGTGGAAGTGGAAGTGTGGTAGAACAAAGGATGTGGAACAAAGGATTCAACGATGGCAGAACAAGCTGGCGTATCTGTTAGCAGTTTGTTGCCTAGCGCAATTTAAGAAGCTCCATGGGAGCTCTTTGAGAGCATCCCAGCTCGTCTCGCCTTTCCTCCTCTTCAACAAAGTGAACAACCATTGCATAGTCCTAATATTGCCTTGACACGGACATCCAAAGACAACCCTCCCCAATAGAACTCACCCACCTTAAGCATCAAGAACTCGAGGTTGGCCCCGAGCTGACCAAGGCCATGACGGCCTGATGCGTTCGTGCTGTTGTCCTCGGTTGCTTGTTTGGGCTTCGGGTGAAATTCTAGGACGAGGACACGTTGGGACACCCTCAACCTGAGGAAAGGCATGGCACTGCATGGACTGCATGGACAGGTCGACGCCGCAATCCAGATGGTATATGGCATTATAAAGCCCTGGGCTTTGAGGATCGGGTTTTGCGGGTCCCATGCGGGGAGCGTCCAAATCCGGTATGCCAATCGCCTCGTGGAGGTCGTGCTCCTGAGCTTTCGTGATGCTGGCGAGCACTTCTTTGGATGTGACTGGCCCTTTCTGCGTGGGTTTGAGCTGGTTCGGCTCGTTTTTGAGAACGTCTATCTAAACAAGCTTCATGTCGTCGAAGCCGAGATCGCAACAGAAACCCAACGCAGCCATCATGTTGCACTGCTTTTAATAAATAGACACCCCCCCCCCTCCCGCAACAAATTTGGACCCTCTATAAACGCGTGGCGCAGCGACCCCCCCAAACAAATGGGGGGGGGGGGGGGGGGGGGGGGGGAGCCCCCCCCCCAGGGCCTCCTTAAGGCCTGAAGCTTCTCAAGCCTTAGCCCTCAACCCTGAACACAAACCCTTGAAAAAACAATCATCCGGAAAAAACATGTGCATTATAGAGGGTGACCAGACAAACTTACTAAAGGCAGTTCGGCCGGCCCGTGGGCTACCCATCACGAAATTTGTTTGGGGCCTCGTTTCGTAATGAAATTCCATAGGGCTTTACATGGAACTGGCCGGGCTTAGCTTTCTGGATTCTCCGGGCTCTGGCTCTTTAAGATTCCTGGAGCCCAACACCCTCAGGGCTCAAGCCTTACTGCGTAAGCCCTTAACCCTAAAAACACAAACCCTTAGAAAAAAAGCCGTCCGGAAAAATACTTGTGATTATAGGGTGTTACACCAACAAACTCGGTTCGCAGAACAAATTTTCGAAACTTGTGATTATACACCCTAGTTCTATTAAAGTCAGTGCAACATTATGGTGTCACGCAGGGAGGCGATCATGTATGCCAGGATGGCGGTGCTGCAACTTAAATGGCACGTAATTCCGTCTACTGCGGCAGGCATCCAGCTACTATACGGACTTGCCGGCCGCACCCGGCGGCTTGCCGACACTATTAGACCGTGAGTGGACGTTCACATCAAGGAGCGGAAGTGAATCTTCCTGGAAGCGGACAACTGAAAGCTGCGAGGCCACACCCCAGTCCCTGGACCTTGAACCCCTATACAGCCCTACAAGATCCTACACACGCTGACTTTGCACTTGGACGTCGGCAGGCGCAAAGGGGAGTTTCGAAAAACTATGAAAAACTAGGCAAAACAACATGCTGCGCCTCATCGCAGTTGGCATTGCAGATCCACAGAGCTACACGTGCGCGGGACCGTTCCGAGGCTGCGAGCTTTGAGAGCATGGGGTTTTGGAAGATGTGGGGTTGGGCACTGAAAGTCAAGATCCATCTCATGCTGAAGCAAGGTGAAGGCGAAGAAAACATCAAGCAAACTTGGTTGGATACGTTGTGACCTTTACGCTCACCAAGACAACCTGAAGAGCCCCTGCCTTTTGAGTTGTGAAGAGCGGGGGAACCATGGTGTAAGGGTCCAAAATAGGCCGGTGAGGCCGTGGCATTCGCGCCTGTTGCCAGAAAAAACTCAGCTAGGCTTCGAGGGCTAGACTTTTCGTCGTGAATATCCGCAGGCTCGGACGGAATATCCAGAGGTTAGGTGACCAAGGCTCCAAGTTTTTCATGATGCTCTGCTCAAGGGTCTCGTTGGTAACGTTGCTGATGTTGGTGGCGTTGTTGCCTCTGCGGTCGCTTCGAAGATTCAACACATACTGTAACATACTGCAAAGACCCGGAGCAACCAAACGTCCTCAGCCTCGTGAAGGCATGTCGCAGGGTTCAGACTGAGCCATGCCATGATCAGCCATGTCCCTAAACTTTCCGAAACGCTGAGACGTGCTCCGACCGTGATTTGCATCCCCCATCGTGCAGTTCCTGCTCCAACATGCTCCTAAAAATCTTTAGGCCTTGACCGAAACAATTCAACCGCGACACCCTCCGTCAAGTCGAAGGGGACATCCCGGAGATTTTCAGTTTCGTCGATGGTTGCCGCACGGGTCTCTGCCTCCAGAGTCACATTGAGTACAGTACTGGGACAGTTGTTCTGCCATGCCTGGCGTTTTTATGCATGCTCAAGGCTTAAGACCTGAAAGGACACGCGAAGTTAATGGTCTGCTGCTGCCTTCGAGGGCTCGAACTTTTACAATAAGGTTGCAGCAAAAGGCCGCCGCAGCTAGAGCCTTCTTATTGTTGCCTCCAACTCTCACTCCCATTCCCTGCCTTCACGGCCAACAGCGAAGGCGCCGAAGCGGCAGCTGCACAGTTGGATCCCGCGCAATGCGGCACTGATCCTGCCTGGACAAAATGAAGACCTGGGAAGCAGCGTTGAACGGTAGAACCGTCAAGAAGGCATTCGGGTGGTTTCTCGGGAGTCCAATTGCACTCGTGATTTCTGATGGGAGTGTGGGGATGCAGCTTGACACTTAATGGCACAGTGAGATTCTTAATGCAACGGCAGCAAAGAGGCCGCAAGCAAAATGACGAGACAATACGTTTGGAACAAGGCACGCAGGAGTAGGGTCAGAGACCAAACGGTTGGGTTGGCCAGCCACCTTGCAGGGGCCGCTTATGGCAGTCGTGCTTATCATGAAGTAGTCATGCATATCAAAACAGAACAAAACCTCGACACGCCATAAAAAACTTAAGGGATGTTCAACTATTTCAAATCCCGCCCACATGGCCCAGAAAGTAGACGGCACCCAGACCCAAATCAAGACTTGAGCCGAGGCTGCGGGGGCCCGACTTCGAACATGCTAGGGCTTGCCGTGGCTTGTTTGCTTTGGCATTCGGCAGAATCCAAGTTAGCCTAAGTATGGCCCATCTGCCGGACACCGGAAGGCTGCAGGTTTTGGAGCCATGCCCGAAGAGACGAGTCCCAAGAAAGCACAGCGGAGCCCACGTTGCACCCTAAACTGGAGAACGCGCTGGAAACCCCCTGTGAGGACATGTAACTTCGTGACAGCTTTCCGGCTTTGAAAATGTCGGGTATAACGAGAAAAAGTGAGCCCAAAATGACTGTTGTCCCTCGCAGCTGTCGAAGATTTATTGTAATTTGGGAAGCACCTCCAGGCCCAACTTTTTGGAAGGTGCGGATAGAAGCAAACCTCTCAGGAAAGAGCCTGGCACCAAAACCACTACAACTTTGACCCCGAAAAACTGAAAGGGGATTCTTCCGGGAGCTGATCCTAGGAAGCCTTTTCTGGCTTGTATCCGGCTTCGTAAAGAACTCAGGCCCTAATATTACGTCACAGGATTTGGGCGGATACTGCCGGATACACCAAAGAACTACCAAAGACCTCAATGAAAGGCTGTGCAAGGAAAGCAACATTTTTCATGCACCAGCTTGTGGGGCACCAGTGACATCTCAAACATCCTCTTGCTCGTGCCTCGAAACTGTGCGAAACTGTCCAGGAGACCCACACTGCCGACCATGCTGCTCGATGGACAATGCTGTCTCAAATGCTGTCAAGGGACTTGGTCCGCCATTGGCCGCTGCCCCAGGAGTTGCTGGCCCAGTTCCAGTCTTCCTCTGGCTCGGCTTTTGCCCAGGTGCCGGACCACGAAGCTGCGTCCTCGTGGAGACACACGCCCAAAAGCACGAAACTGATGAAACGAACATCAACTTATCGCCCATTTTCTTTGATTTCGCCGGCATGATCATGGACTCAATCAAAATCTCTCAAGTCCGCGGCTCCTTCTCCTTCTTCGTGGCGGAGGCTGGCCACTCCCCTCCGGGCTCCCGCTTCGCAGCCCCTGGCAATCCCACAGCTGCCTGCTCCGTTCAGCCCAGCTGAAGCCAAACTTAACATCCGGTGCCTAGAACGTCCTCCTCATCGGTGATGCCGCCTTCGTCTCCTTGACCACCACTCCAGCGATCTCAGTCTGAAAGTTTGAAAGGGGCTGGAAGCAAGACAGGCGAGTAGGCTTCGACATTTCCCAGGGCTTGGTGACGTGGATAGCGTGGAAAGGATTCAGGATAAGGTCTGAGTTCAGTAGAGACACACTATAGTAGAGTAGCCAGACGGGCCAGACGAGAAGGGCCCTTGCTGCGAAAAGCCCTCTTCCACTCGACACACTGGAACATTGGCGGACAGGACCATCCACCAACGATATTTCGCAACTCCAACACGACAAGATCATCCACCCAAAATCCAACCAATGCTGGAAACAATGAACTCAAAACTTGGCTTCGCGACCCCGAAGCTTGTAGCAAAATACAAAAATTGGGTTCGAGTCCGGGTACTTAATTGCGGAATCTCATTCACAGGAGTCTACGGCCTGTACGGCCTGTCATCTTGAGATGGCACATCTCGATGTAGTGTTGCAGCCCAGCGTCACTTGTCGCGCCACCACGTGCCCCCGCGTGATTCCTTCCGATTGTGCCGCGACACCGAAGCACCGCTGAAGCGCCCTCCTGCACCACAAAATGGAGCCCTTCGACTGTCTGGCGCAGTGTATTGCGATCCATGTTTACTCCCATCATGCGATCTGATCAATGCTTCAGTACATTTCAGTACTGCTTCTGTGACCAACAGTCGCTTCTGCCATTTGGCACAGCTCCTTGAGTTGGTGCACGCCCCCCCCCCTCTTCTCGAGGACCGTTACGCTTGCCCCTTGGAAGTTGACCATGAGGGACTCCCAGGACTTTTTTTAGGAAGCCCCTACAAACTTCGAGGGACCACAACCCCTGAAGACTTAGTGAAACCAAAAGCCCAGAAGGTTAACATTTCAAAGGCCCTTAAACGCCCCTAGAATCTCCCCGAGCTCTCTGTAGGTAACCTTCGATGGGCCTTGTTGCTGTTCGGGCCGTGCCGAGGCAGTCGACATGCAGTGTTTACAACTACAATATTTCCACAGAAGTTCCTGATCAGCAACTATAAGGCCCAAACAAAAGACGTAAGTCTTGAAACGCGGGGTTCAACTGTCAGATCCATGCAGGTCGCGGCCCGCCTTAAGCTAACACCTAAGCCCGAAATTCAAGAGGGCAGGGCTGGTGTCCTTGGTTACGACTGGGGTGGACCCGGATTGAGACAACCTCGTTGTCCTCCTGCAAAGCGTCTCAAACAATGCGGATTCATACGAGCAGTTTAGCTAGGGGCCCATGGCAAAGTTTCGGTAGAGGTGCTACCCACTTCATCACAAGCCGTAGTGTCACGTGACAAGATTGCACGTGACGTGTGGCATTCTCCTACCTGCCGCTTCCTTTCAGTCGTTGCGATTTGCTCGAGATTTCCGACAGCCTCACGTATATGAACCGAAATGGATGCATGTGGCAGAGGGCCGGCCTACAAACGCAGCACCTGAAACACTGAGCGTTCATCTCAAAGCCTCCCGTCGTGGCCACACACCCCCAAGCCCAGCCCACGTACCGAGATTTTACCGGACTCTAAGACTCCAAGACACGATCCCACACGTCCCTCAGCCAGCGGCCTCTTTCATGGAGTAGCGGAGGGTGCGTGAAATCTGGTCCTGGAACATGTGGACCTCGGGCAACTTTTCAAGAATGGCTTTTGCAATCCTTGCTTGGGGCGAGTGGGTTTGAAACTGCACAGAAGTTATGGGTCGAACGACGACTTCAGGCTTCAATTCTCGCTTGGTAGGCTTGAAGGTGTTGGGGCGAGGCCAGCAGTGTTAAACAAAGCTATACGGCAAGACTCATCGCTGCAGAAGGCTCATGCCTGGCCTGGACCGCGTTGATGATGCCCTGCTTTGTGAGGCCTGCGTACATGCCATTTCAACAAGCTTGGGCTTCGACAAGGGGGTGGCAAGCTCCACAGACATTAGGTTTTAGGGGGTTGGGTCTTTCTTGAGGTTCATGACTGAGGAGGAACACACAAACGAGCTCGGGACTGCCCCCGAGCATGATCCCAGCACCAAGTTCGGCTCTGTATGGGCTCACCCCCTTCTGTTGTGTGGGCACTGCCTTTGTGTGGGCACAACGCGGCTGCCACCAAAAGGAGACTGAATCAGGGAGTCAAATGTGACATTTGTGATCGACGTGCTGTCTTCTTACCTTTTCCTGGAGGTTCTTGTCTGGCGGGATGGGAAGGGGAGCAAGGAAGGAAAGAGCACTTGCAGGCACTTGCTGTGTCTTGTAGTGTCCTAAGTTATGGTGGCCATGAAGAGCAAAGTTTCTTGCGGCTTCTGGTTGAATGGTGCCCAAAACCTGCGTGTCGGGAAGGACACCGGTGCTCTCTGTCACTCTGTCGAAGCGGTTGTGATGGACGACAGGCCGCTGCTTTTTCAGACTTGGGGGTGAGCAGACGGTTCCCAGAAGGTGCGGCGCTGAAGATTGCCTGGGTCGAGGACATTGCTGCTGAACTTGGCCATGACACTCATGACGTGGACCACGAAGGCTGCGAAACCAAGGAAAGTAAACCCAGAAGGGCAGTGTGTCGGGAGAAAGGGCCGGCAGAAGCGGACTGGGCCCGGAATTATGACTGGGCCCGGAATTATGTCTGGCGCACTTTGTGAAAAATTGGTCTCGAGGTCGGAGAAAACAAAACGAAACAACAGTTGCAGTACGCTGTAGCAACTGTTCGGCATTGTTCGGCGGAGCTCAGCCACGGCCGACACTGCTATGCGGCCGGAATCTTGAATTGGCCCTGTCAGGTTCGAAAGGACGTGGAGCAGCCAACCAAAAATGCAAGGTTGGGACTCGCTTGAGGAGTTCCGCATGTCGCGAAGAGTCAACACTCTGTTCCGAAGTTGATGCGACAGTGCGCCTATGTGTGCTTAAGACCCTTCCGCCTGCAGCCTGAACCTGCTCAAGCCTCGCCTCACAAGCACTTTAATAAAAGCCTGTGAACTCGACTGCAAACCCTCTCCTGTCCTGAACGTGCATCAACCTACATACCTAAACATTGAAACCCTACATGCTTTAATTGTTTTACGGTTAAGCCCAAACCCCGTAGCCGCCTACACCCTAGTTCTGTCCGCTACCAAGCCCCCAGTTTGAGCATAAAAACCTTCGAACAAAACTCAGTAATCACATGTAGTACGCAGTAGCACCCAGTAATGGTGGCCTTGGCGCTCGCCCCAGACCTCCATGGACATTATTGGACAACATCGAACAGCTACGAGCACGCATGAAAATCGTATAGCCTGGATAAGGGTGGGTCCGCTCTTCAGAGAGGTCGGATGCGATGCATACCTTGCAACATCTCAGAGCCCAAACCTCCATCAAGTTGTCAAGATCGAACGTGCCATCGCTGTCCACGTGAAGGCCCGCCGGGCGGTTCTTCCTAAGATCAGCGAGGCAGCCTGTAGCCGCACTTCCAAACCCCATGTGTGCCCATATACGCCTCAAAGTTGCTGAAATTTTCAAGCTCCGAATCGGGTCATGAACTTGTCTTGGCAAGTATCTCGTAGCGCACCATTCCGCAAATAGCCTTGGAGCAGCGCATCAACATGTACATCCCGCAGCAACTTCAAAGCCCGCTCTTAGCGCTGAACACTAAAGATCAAAACACCAAATGGGTGCTAGATGCCATGAATCTCATGCTGAAGCCCTGAAAGTCCTAACGTCTGCTCCGAGTGCCGCCAAGGCACAGAGGAGATCCTGCGAGTGTTCAGACCCGCGGCAGGGGATCTGGACCTTCCACGGTCCTGCGAGGGCCCGCAGGTTTGCTGCACTAGTGTGTCGGGGTTTTGATTCAAGTCGGGGGTTGAAGCGATCACAAGTGTCCCATAAGCGTCCTACAATTTCATTGAGTCCTGGCCCGGCATGGTCCAAGCTGGGAATGGCTCGCGTGGGGCACTTCCTACTCACCAGGGCCTCCAGGTTCGTGGAACTAGCCTCGAAATTGTAATGACTTCTCAGGGCCTCTGCTAATGCCCCTGTTTGCCCCTGAAACTCAAACACTCAGTGAACAATCGGCTGCGATCTGCAGGGGAGGCCAGTCAGGCCTCGGACTTGTATGGTAAGATTCGTTGACTCAATTGGCACTTCTCGGCTACTGCAGACTTTTCCTCCAAGAAATCGCGTGTTGTGTCTGACACCTTCTTGAACGTCACGCCGCTTCCCTGGCTAAGACCACTACCACAGGTGGGCAGTAAGCAAGCTCTTTGAATCGACAAAAGTTCCTCTGCCAACACCAATCTCGCTGCCCCTGAGAAGGGCCCTGCCAGGAAAGAGGTCTCAGGTGCAGCTGGGCTTCCCGGTGGAAGACTATATCAGCCTGCTGCATGCCTGCCAGCTTTTTGCGCCCGAACTTGCAGGCTGTGTCTCTTCTATTGGCTCCGATATGCGCAGTGCGCGGTCTTGAACTCTGCAAAGTTTGGGCACAACGACACGACTCATAGGCTTCACACCACCGCCAAAGAGGGTGAAGCAAGAAGCGCCTGGGAGACTGGCGTCCCCCAGGTACCTTCTGGAAAAAGCTTGCCTGCAGTTGCCCGTGCTTGTGGGAATCTCACTTCTGTCCGCCTGGGGCTGGTTCAGCCGAGGTTCACTTGGGCTCCAACGATTGTCATGTTTGCGATTTGCAAAAGCGTGTGAGAGGCCAACCCTCTCTGTCAAGGACTCAGTCTCAGACAACTTCCAAACAATCCAATCTTGATTTTAAATCACCTCTGTGAATCGAGACCCTAAAGCCCAGGAGTCCAAGAACCGCGCGCATCGAGCTGATCTGGTCCTGAAGAGACTGCGCCGGATTTCGGTGACAAAAGACAGCTGAGGGTTTGGGCCTTTGGGATGCACCGGTTTCGGGAGTTGATGTTTAGGATGTCCGGAGTTTAGGTCGATGGTTTGAAGAACTGGAATGACAAATTGACCAGCATCTCCCCAACGCCTTAGCCAAACCTAAAGCAGCCCCAAGAGACCTCGCACACACACACACACAACACACAGAGGGGTGCACACACTAGATAACTTGACTTGAACCTTGGGGTAGGAGAGTCTATTTTTGAGAGTCTTTGCAGCAGTCACACAGACTCACAAAGCACATACGCAGGCTTGGCAGGCGCACCTGCACCTTCTCCAGGTAGGGCCTCCGCAAGACATCAAAACCAGCCATGAGAGATCGCTGCTTCGGTTGGGGTCCTATAGACCCCAAACGTGACCCCAAACGGTGAAAGTCACCAGTGAGGTTGACGGATCACTTAGCAACACTTTTTCGGATCACTTAACCACACCGGATCCACACCGTTTCGGATCACTTAGCAACTATTTTGTCGGCTCACTTAGCAGCATTTTGTTTCGGCCCCTCGCGATTCCTGTTCATCATGTAACTTAAACACGCCTCCTCATTTGGCGATTCCGGTTCATAATATCTCTGAAAGACGCCCCCTCATGTGGCAAGTCCGTCTCATCATCCGTCCTAAGCACGGCCCCTCGCAACGACCCCTCATTAGGCAATTCGGAGTCATCATGTATCTTAAGCACGGCCACTCATTATGCGATTCCGGAGTCATCATATATCATATATCTTAAACACACCCCCTCATTTGGCGATTCGGAATCATATGTATCTTGAACACGACCCCTCACTTGGCGATTCGGCGTCATATGTCTTAAAACACGCCCTCTCATTTCCCGATTCCGGTACAGTGTGTATTCTCTCATTTGCCGATTCCGGTTCAGCATATATCATCCTAAACACGCCCCATCATTCCCCAACAAACCTCGTTGCTAAGTGATCCAAAAAGAGTGTTGCTAAGCGATCTTGCTCAATTACTATTACAGGTACCCAAATTCATGTTCGGACGGGCCTATCGCTTCACTCGTGGCCTACCGTACACCGATCCACTGAAGCAACAGCAGTTGGCAAAAACACTCGAAGCAATGAACCACTCAACTGCAGGCTCTTAGACTTAGACAGTGCCCCGGCACGCCTGGCTTGCTCAGCAACCTTGGAGGACATCTGCTTCATGACCTGGCAGTCGGGTGAAGGGTTTATGCTGGGAGCTTCGGGAAGTTTGGGAGGGTTTTAGGTGAAGGGACGTGGTGTGACCGGAGTTCAAGCTCTGTTGTGGCACACCTCCCCTTGTGCCGCTGGGCCGTGACTTGGAGACTTCCTTTCAATATTTCATGAGCGATATGCAACCACCACAGTCACGAGGTCCAAGGGACTTCAGGGGCTCTCTCAAAGTCACTCAGACAGAGTTTCGATGGTGTTCAGACCAGCCACAAGGTCGCAAGATGTCGCAAGCGATGTTGTTCTTTGTGCGATTCTGTGCGAAGATATATGACCGACTCTACCCAAACCCCCTGGTTGCAATCGAGGTGGGTTTTCGGGGGGCCCTTCCCGGTTGCAATCGACCTTTTCGTGGCGAAGCTTGTTGGTGAGTTTTCGGGGCCACTCCCCGGTTACAATCGACCTCTTCGTGGAAAAGCTTGTTCGTTGCACCCCCTGCTTGCTGGCCTTGCTCTGCTTCTCATGCTTCAGACATCAGGCCTCTGCCTTGGTTGAGTTCCCTTCCCTCGTCGTCGTCGTGGGCTGTCACTTTAAGCCTTCGGGCCGGAAGCGGCGTCCTTTGTTAGGCCAGGCTCGTGCCTCGGTCCACTCCACTCCACTGCACTCCACTCGAACTCGACCCAATTGACTCAGAAATGTTATGGTGTTTGCATGCGAGCTGAGGTGGTTTTGCACGATTTTCTGCTTTGGCTGAAAGTTCTGCAATGAGCGAGAAGACGGGATCACAAGACACCACCGCTGATCCAGCCTCAGAGTGCGAAATCACTCAGACTCCAAGATGGTGAAAGTGACGTACCCCTATTTGAAAAGTCCCAGAACTCCAGATACAACGGGCCCTGCATCTCAAATCTCCAGGTTTAAGTGCAGCCAGCCGGCGGGTGTAGCTTTCTCCTGTGCGACCCTCCTGGGCTGTGCTCACTATAGTTCAGGTGCTGTGCACAATCTCCAAAGCCACTGTGTACCTAGGACATAGGTGGACACTATGTTGGACCTCGAGAACTGCGTGTATTGGCATGCACATAAGCGAAACACTCGGTATTCAAACATCCCGTACACGCTGAGCCCCTACCAAGTGCAAGACGCACTGTCGCCAAGACAGGGCCTGCGTACCAGGGTGGGCTGAGGTGTTCCATGGCTCGGGAGGCTTGATTGTGCTCGCCCACGTGTATATATATATATATATATTGGGTACCATATATATATATATATGCCTGTACATATATTAATACATGTATGTATATATATATATATATATGTATGCTACCCCCCCCCCCCCCCCCAGGGATATCCACGCTTTTTTGTGGTTATCCACGCTTTTTGTAGTTGCGAGCCAATTAGAGCGTTCACGGGCCGCGGTGACCCCTGAACTCCCCCTCCCCGCCCCCCCCCCCTGCATAACGTAAATGCATGAGTCCCTGAGATGCTGAGTCCCCTCCATCTGCCCAAACACTGGGCACAGCGACTCCTCGCCTCCCCTCCCTTCCGCTCCGCTGCGCTCCCTGGTTTTCGTAAATGTTTTTTTTCAGGGCTTATCTCTAAAACCCTCTCGGTTAAGGTGTAAGTCTTATGAAAAGAGATGCCCCGAAACCCTATAGGGTTTAGGGCTTAAAGCCGATAGGGTTTAGGGTTCAACCTGAAACCTGAACCTTTAGATCCATAGGGTTTCAAGGTTAAGCAATTACACCTAAACCCTTAACCTTTAAATCCAATAGGGTTAACAGGTTTGAAGATTTAAGATCCAAGTATTTAAACCTAAGCCCATAGAGTTTAAACCTTGAGGGTTTGCTGTTTAGGTACCTAAACCTGAACCCTTTAGGGTCAGAACCCTGAAAGCCTATAGGGCTCAACAAGGCTGAAAGTTTTAACCCCATATGCGCCGAAGGTATACATGCCCAGACCTGAGGTTTTTCAACCCTTAAACCCCGTAAAGTCTAAAGGTTCAGGATTTTTCAAGGTTGATCTCTAAAGCCCTCACTAGGCCGAAAGGGTTCAACAGTTTAGGGCTTAAGGTTTAGGCATTGCCTATAGGATTAGAGTGATTAGAGCCTGAAAAACCCTATGAGGCTTGAGGCTTAAATCCCTAGCCCTTTAGGGTCAGAACCCTGAAAGCCTACGGGGCTCTAAAAGCCTCAAAAGTTTTAACCCTTTAGGCGCTGAACCTTAGGTCTTGAAACCTGTAGACCCCATAAAGTTTAACGGTTCAGGATTTTTAACTGTTGACCTCCAAAGCCCTCACGGGGTTGCCCTATAGGGTTTAAACCCTATAGGCCTATAGGGTTCAGATGTTTATGGTTTAAGGTTGAGGCATTACCTATAGAATTAGAACCTTATAACCCTGTGTACGACTCACCTTTACGTACTATTTGATGGTTCTGTCTCCCCTTTCAAAGTTTTTAGGATTTTGAGGAATTTAAAAGGACCCTTCATTTCTTTAAAGTGCTTAAACTCCTTAACATTTTGAAAGGCCTCTGGCTTTCAAAATGTTAAGGATGTAAAAGGCCACGCAAATACTTCAAAATCCGTAAAATATTGAAAAAAACTAAACAAATTTGGGAAAGGCCCGGCCCGTTTGAATTTTGTAAATCCGTAAATTCCTCAAATCCTTGAAATGTTGAAACACAATCGTTGTTTTGGTAAAAGGCCCGGCCAATTTTTTACATTTTCTAAAGCCCTTACACTCCTCAAACTTGTCGAAACACACGGGCCGGTACAAGCTGGTACAAAACGGTACAAGTTGTACAGGCTCCGGCCCCTGGAACCAAGAACGCCAAGAGCCAAGATTGCAGGGAGGTCTTGCCCTGCAATCTTGGT